ATCCCAGGAGTACAAGAACTGGAAACTCAGGCACACACTCCCTGCCAGAATTAAAGGAGTCCAGTTGCTGGCTGGTGTGTATGGTGACTTAGAAGCTGAAGAGACGGTTCATAGGGTATAAATAAGAATGAAAGGGGATAAACAGCAGAGGATAAACCAATGCTTAAAGGGTTATTTTGCCCCAAAGGGAGATTGGGAGATGAGCCTCGATAAGACCTGCCCTGTTACTCCAAATATCTCTGCTATTTCTATGTGCTTCCTTCATTACGGCTGCAAAGTGCAGGATTGCCATCAGGCAGCAGCTGTGTCACAGGCACAGGCAGAGCAATTAGGATGTACAAAATCAGTGGGTAGCAGGAATGCAAGTGAAGCACATGGGTGTGGAGACTTAAATAGAAAGACATTGCAAGAGGGGAAGTCTGGAAGAAGGAAATACAATGCCAGTTAAGACAGACCTAGGTTGTGCTTAGGTGCAAGATGAGAGCCTAAGTTAGTGTGCTTCATGTCTATCCTTGATCACATAATGCTTTTGTTTTATGGTTAGTGAATGGTGACATAGAAGGGCTCTTTGTAGGGAGGACATGAGGCCCCACAGAGCCCTACATCTGCATCTACTGTGCTAAAAGCTTAAGCAGAACAAGAATAATAGTGTTAGCATCCTAAAAAACTTTCCTTCAAAGTGGATTCAAGCAGCAGCAGATGCAAAGAGGGTAGCCCAAAAAAGAAGAGACGTGATATCAATCAGAGAGGTAAGGAGCCATGCTTCTGTGCCCATTCCAGCAAAGGCTCTCAAAGGAGAGAGTCAGGATTTGGTACAGGATTGTAAGAAAAAAAATTTGGCTCCTGCTTGTACTGGAATATCCCCAACATTCACATTTTCAATCCTTTGCCACAGAAAACTACTTTTTGAAGAGAGAGCGAGTTTCTCCTGAAATCACAAAATTCCAAGACATAGTATTAATACATGAACTGGCTACCATGATTTCATGTTGAGTTTAGAAGTGGCACCTTAAAAAGTCAGATACTGCTGGCAGACCCACTGCAACAGATTCACAGGAGGCGGAAAAAAAAGAAGTCAATTTTCTGGTATGTGGTACAGCAGAAATAACATTTGGTCTTTGAAACCTCCCGTATTTTAGGGTGTTGACTGCAGCAAGCAAAAGGCTTAAACTCCTAGTTACTGAAGGAGGAAGCAAAAAGCATTACTTGTCTTACAGCCAGAAAAGAGAAGGCCAAGAATTTTTCAGATGCCTGGCTGACCCACTTTTTGTAATGTAGACAACTGCTTGCTGTTTGTAACCTTAACCTGTCATGAAGAGAACTACAGTTACCAGCGTACATTTTATGTGGTTGCGGTAACTTGGCAGATGCCTACTTGACTATGCATGAGAAGGACAAGTAAGATAGCTTATATGTTGACCTTAGTGTTAACCAGGAACCTGAATCAGCAGTAAGTGCTCTGTGATAGTTCAGTCCAAACTCTGCAAGGCATTAGCCCTGCAGGTATCACTGGTTGGAGATAGTAATGACAAGGAGGGTTATTTCAGTTTAAGTGGAACTGACCCTTTAGAAGGAGGTTTGCTGGTTTGAATGACTGCCTTTGATATGGCAAAACATGAAACACACAATGTCTTTTTATGTGATCCTGGCAACTTAACTGCGGCAAATGTGGAGGGACTAGTAATACCCTTCATCTGAACAGCTAACACATAAATCAGTGAGGTTTAGGGCAACCAAACCCTTTTTGGGGGGCAGTTGCACAGGTACGATTTGGGTTTTTTTTCCAGGTAAGCAAGTATATTCCCCAAAGTATGCTAACCCAGGTCTAGCCTTGGTAGGAATCAGGATGGATAATACACATAGATCAGGGAGCTTGGAGATGCTCCTTGTGTGTCTGCTGTCATAATGAAGCTTTTATATCTTTTGTCTCTGCAACTGAGCTGCACTTTCCATGCTGTATTATGGTGTGCACACAAAGGACACAGCTATAGGTGAAGGGATGATGATCATGCAAAAAGTGACTTGAGAATGCCAGGTGTCTTACCTTTTACGGGGTGGTGGGGGGGTGGAAAAGAGCTTTTCTTCCAGCCTTCCACTGCCCTTTGGTATTTGCAGTACCACCAGAAAACCTCACTAGTCTGGAAGGAGTGGAGATGAGTTGCCAAGTTGGAGTTTCTCATTTCATGGGTTCGAAGAGCTGTTTCTCATATTGGCTTGCCTGAAGCCTAAAAACACTCATTCCTGGGTAACTGCAAGAGGCTTTTCCAGAGCAGAGGCCAGTAAAGCACTGTCTGCAGGGTTTAGGGAAACTTCAGAATGGGAATCCAGTACAGCCTGATTCTCCATCCATTTTAGTAACAGTCTCTAGAGCTGGGAAGTAAAAACACATGCAAATAATAGATTTAAATATACTGATATTCTTTCTTGCTTTCAGTTTTGAGAAGAAGGGGCTAGTTCATTGTGAGGAAGTGAACTCAAAACACTTAAGTATGCAAACTACAAAGTCTGGTTTAATCATTTCTATTAAACAACAGAACAATCTTTGTATAATTCAACAGTTAGAAAATCAACCTTGTTTGTGTCTCCTTATCATCCCTTCTGCCCTTGGCACTTCCTGCTGAATAGAAGCTATTCAGCTGTTACTCTGTTTTCATTGTACTAAATTCACTTCTAGCTATTGTGAAAGAAGGAAGTGAGTAGACAGAGTAGCTCCCTTGTGATGTGACAGTGGGAAAGGACTGAAAAGACATAAACTTGCTAGTTCTGCTGTTTATGACAACAGACTTGTTTTCTTCATGTTATGCATTAAGTTTTGAAAATGGTTAAGTCGGCAGATACATATTAGCTTCAATGACATGAAACCATACAGCTTAAGACTCTGGCCCTGAGACTGTCAACACTCTGAAAACTCGCATTGCAACAGAGCTGCAGTAGTCAGAAAATGTATTTCCTTTTCTCCATGTGTAACTCTCAGTAGTGTGACCTTTGGTAAATGTCAAGTGTGGGGTTTAATTCTGTGTTTCCTGGCTTTCGTGTACCTTCCGCTTTAACCAACTTCAGACATGTCTGCTGGTGTAGTTTTATTATGTGCTACCATTAACACACTGATAAAAAAAAGGAGCATAGTACACACTTAACAGACTTGCCCTAAATACTGTAGGCAAATGTAATCTTTTTGCTGATAATGCAGTCCATAAGGAATTAAAGGTAAAGAGTGTAGATTACAATGGCAGGAGGACCAGGGGAGTGCACTGCTCTGTCAGGAAGGCACAGGACCTCTCCCTTCTGGTCAGGGAGAGGAGGGAAATTAAAGTAAGTTCAAAGATTGGTTGTCCACCTAACACGACAAATGGAAACTGGTAAGCTGGAGATGTTTGTTAATAAGCACTATGGCTTCCTTGTCAGTTCTGATTGCTGGAGCTCCTTGCTTTTCCAGGAGCCAGCAGTACCTACCAGCGGTGTTCCCCACTGCCAGAGTTTTTCTAATGGCAGAGCCTTGGGATGATCCAGTGGGGTAAAATCACAGAGATGTCCAATTTCTGGATGCTGTAATATTGCATGTGCTTCCATAGCTAAATAAAGCAGGTCCACTGATGTTTTGCATTCCCCAGCTCACCTCCAGCCCTGAGGGATGGGTAGTTCTTGGGGACAGACAGTGAATGGCAAGCGGTAGCCTGGCACTAGAGCGGTGTCTGGGTTTAGTTACAGCCCAGGAGGTGGCTAGGTTTGCATCTCTACTTGTGTGGTGACCCCAAAAGCCTAGGCCTGGCTCGAGGGAGGCTGTAAGTGCAGGGCAGAGTCAAAGCTGCTGTGCCTGAAAAGCAGACTCAAAGGCTCTCCCTATGGGAACCTTCCCTGGGTTGAGCCAGCTCACCTGGGAGAAAAACAAAGCTCTCTTGGCAGCCACAGGACTTCAAATTTATTTTCTTCCTTTTAATGACTTCCTTCTAAACACATCAGTTTACCACCAGTAACTTCGCAGTCCAAAGGCTCTTGGAAAAAAATACCAGCTCCTTCCCAGTCTCCCTGGTGGCACGTGTGCCAAGAAGCATAGCCAGCTCTCCCCTGGCAGCACTTCTCCCCAGCAGGCTGGCCAGCAGCATTCCTCCCTGCCTGCCTGCCCACACAATAAAAAGGGGTGCTCCCTGACCTCCGCCGGTTGCAGTGTCTCAGGATGTCTGGCTGTGCCACACACGCTCTGTCAGGCAGCACCGCAATATATTCTCTTTGCTGGGAAAGCATCTGCCATGTGTCTGGGAGCACTCACTGCACCACTGTTAAGAGGGTCAGGATGTCTGTGTCGCTCCCCCATGAGTGCCGCTGGGGTCCTTGTGGCCGTCACGGCATGTGCCGAAGTGATGCGTACGCCCCAAATCCAGCGTGGTTTGTATCCTATTTCCCAGCAGGGTTTGCGACACTTCCACCATGCTGCCTCTTAAATTCCTCTGTGCCATGTGGGAGAGCGTGGACACCGTTGGCAAGCAGCAGCCGATGACTGGCCTCACATTTCCTTGACCTCCATACGAAATTATTGTAGATGAGCTCTGTCAGCCCTAGGAAGAAGACTCACAGCCTACCCACCTGCTTACATCCCTAGTGAGAATTGTGTTTGGTTTTTCTACCGGCCCCGCTATGAAGTTTCCACCCTGCAGACCCAACACAGCCCTGTGCTCCACCACTGCTCAGAGCTTTTCAGGGCTGCGCCCTGGGTCGGGGCTCATACAGTGACGGTGTAAAACGACCAAGTCCTGAGCAGGCCAAGACAAAACCCGTGTGCAGGCACGGGGTGGTGCTGCAGGCAGCCCCGCTGCTGCCTCGCCTCGCCCAGGTGAGGGGTGGTGGCACCAAAACCTCCCCCCTCTGAATTCAGAGAATTAAAACCAAGTTAAATGTGCTTTAGGGAAAACCTGACCGGAAACAGCTTTGATTCCCCCCCCCCTCCGCCGCCATATTTCTCCCCGCACAAAGCCCGCCCGCAGCCCCGCGGGGGCCCCGGCCCAGCCGCCCCCAGGGGCGGGCCCGCCGCCCGCGCAGACGCTCTCGCCGGCTCCGAGTGGCCTCGTGTGCCGTTGCCGCCCGGGTCCGTGTCAGCGTGGGCTTCGCCGTCCCCCCAGTCCCACCCCGCAGTGCCGTGCCCGCAGCCAAGATGGCTCTCCCCGCTTCACCTCGCCCGTTGTCGACATGGCGGCCGGCAGCGTCGGAGCGGGAGGGCCTTGCCCGGGCCCGTCATCTCCCGTCCAGCAGCGGGGAGGGGGGGCTGTGGGGGTACGGCCCGGCCCGGGGCAGCCCTGGCATGCTTTTGGCTTTCCTCTTATGTTTTGCTCTCCGTGGGGTGCTGCAGCCTGCTTTTCTCCTCAGCGGCGGGGGGGCAGAGGCAGCAGCCATGGCAAGGCTGCAGGGGGTTCTGGCTTTTGGGGGGCCTGCTCTATGTTGCTCTTGTTTCCCTTCGCTGCCAAGGGAGCCTTTCTTGAAATAACACGTCTCTGCCTGCAGGAAAGGGGGCAAGAAACAAGGCTGAGAGAAGAACCCCCTCTCCTGCACCCTCCAGAACCAGTTGAGCAGGGCAGCCGGTAAGGCCAGCGTCTCGCACCTGCCCATTGCATGCCCCGCGGCACACCATCGACCTGTCGTGTTTCCACGGGACCGGTGGCATGCATTTGCGAAATTCCTGGTAGCAGCGCAGTGCCAGCAGTCAAGGGTGGCCTGGAGGAAAATTCGGTTTTTCCCTGCAAGTATGTTTGTCCTGGTTGCTCACTGAAAATAATGAGGTAGTAGTAGAGGGTGGGAAACAGGATTTGGGTTTCATGGGCCTGTGGCTTGCTCCACGCACTGAGTTACGTAGCCGTCTTAAAACACATTTCCTGGTCGAGGTTTGACGCAGCACAGGCTATCAGTGTTGGCGTCGAAGCACCGCTAGATAAACCTGTTGGAGAAATACCTGCTCCTCCGCAAGAGGGAGGAAAGGATGGCAGCTGTAATTCACTTCTGTGCTTCATGGGTTTTGAATAAGCAGCCCATCTAGCAGCTTCTTGGAAAGAAAATCTTGGCTTTATATCTAGAGTGTATCAACCCCTTTCCAGGAGGCCTTCATTGCTGTCAAAAGATTCAAGGGCATTACTAGATGTGCTGTTTCTGATTTCTAGAAAAAACTTTTCTGTGTGCCAGACCCAATAAACAGTGGTTTATGTGATGACTGACTGTTGACATCAGCTGGCATATGTGCTTTGAAAGGTCACACTGTCTGTCAGCCCGATCAGCTGATGCAAAGCATGTAACTGACCTGTTTGTTTCATTCCAGCAAGCTGGGATTGACAAACCACAAAGGAAGGAGGAGGGGATCCTGAAGCAGTAACAGACTGTTTGCTCCCGGACTCTGTCCAAGCGGACTGCTTCCGCATCAGTGCTGTTCCCAGGTATGGCACAGGCATAATATTGTGTCTCTTTCATGTGCCTGAAGGCGCAGGGCTGAGCTGAGGTCTTGCTTATCCTCAGAAACGAGTCTCACCATCAGTTTTGGGAGTAGGACTGCTGTATACTTAAGTTAAGACTAGAGGGAGCTGATCCAAGGGAAACGTGGGGGTTTTTTTGTTTGTTTGTTTTTTTAAAAAGGTGAGTTGTTTTATCTGAACCTGATCATCACCTGGCTGCATATGTTGTTAGCCCTGTCGTGGCAATACGAGGAAGGAGGCTGGCACAGGCAGTTGGCAGAGGTGGCCAGGATCACAGCAGCCCATATTAATGACAGCCTTACCACAGCAGCAGCTCCTCTTGCTATAATCTCCTGCTTGCCCTTGGAGGGATAGCATTGGTTGGGTTTTTGGTGTGTTTTGGTTTTTTTTTCCCCCAAACCAAGGACTGAAATAGGCAGTTTTGTTCTTTTAAAATATTCATATACTTAAAAAGCAGCACAAATCACGAAGACAGTATTTGAGGAAAGCTTCTTCTCTGTGTTCCTTACACAGAGTTCATCTGTGTTTCGGGACATGAAGAGCAATGGAGGAGAAACTTCTCTGAAGTGACTGTTGGGCAGCAGAGGGTTGTATACTTTGTTTTGTTTTTAATATTCCAGTTGTGTTTTTCCTGGAAACTTTCTGTGAATGCTCTGACCTTGCCTGTCCCTCCAAGGCAAGGCAGCTGGTCTCCTCCCATATCACAGCCAACATCTCCACTTTGTTCATTAGTGAGTTAGTCAGCATTCTGCAAAGGTCAGAGGTGAATCTTAGCTACAAGTTTACTCAACATAGAAGCACCTAAGGAATGGTGTGGTTTTTTAAAAAATCTGCCTGGGGGTATTTACTTCATTTTTCAGTACTAATCCCTTCTAGGGATTTCTTTGGCCCCTGTGGCTGTAACATTCCTCACTGACAATACCCCTGAGATAAGAGTGTGTTGCCTTCTTAGTTTTATAGAAGAGGAAATAAGTGTGAGCCTGCAGGGTTCCAAGCCATTGCCTGACCACTGGATCTGGTTCTTCTGTCTCTCACTGCAAAGAGTGATAACTCTTTACTGAAATAGCAGAAGGATAGAGCTGGTGGAGGGGGCAGCACAGGTAGCCACAATCTGCTTTTTTTTATTGCATATAAGTAGACAAAACAGATGAAGGAACAAACTTGCACAAAATCCAGAGACTTGGAGTCTCTGGAAGAGCTGGGAACTAAATTCACATTTCACAAGAAACAGTCTTGTTCTGTCCATGTTTTTTCCATGAAAAGCTTCATTGGTTACTTGAGTGAGGTGAAAAACCACGATGTCAGCTCACATTTACCACACTCAATCTCATCATCAGTGCCCAGTGGGTGTTTAAGTGAAGCTCGTGCCTGAAAGTCCTTCTGGCAGATGTCCTTGCAGTAAGGACTGAGTGTCATGGTTTAACCCCAGCCAACAGCTAAGCACCAAACAGCTGCTCACTCACTTCCCCTCCACACAGTGGGATGGGGGAGAGAATCGGAAGAAAAAAAGTAAAACTTGTGGGTTGAGATAAGAACAGTTCAACAGAACAGAAAGGAAAAAAAACCTGATAATAATAAAATGGCAGTAATAATAAAAGGATTGGAATATACAGAACAAGTGATGCACAATGCAATTGCTCACCACTCACTGACCGATGCCCAGTTAGTTCCTGAGCAGCGATCCCCCCAGGCCAACTCCCCCCCAGTTTATATACTGGGCATGATGTCACATAGTAGGAATATCCCTTGGGCCAATTTAGGTCAGCTGCTCTGGCTGTGTCCCCTCCCAACTTCTTGTGCCCCTCCAGCCTTCTTGCTGGCTGGGCATGAGAAGCTGAAAAATCCTTGACCTAGTATACATGCTACGTGGCAACAACTGGAAACATCAGTGTGTTATCAACATTCTTCTCATACTGAATCCAAGACATAACACTATACCAGCTACTAGAAAGAAAATTAACTATTCCAGCTCAAACCAGGACACTGGGTCAATTCCTCTTCTATTTGGTATTGCTAGAGGCGTGAGCTGGAGTACAACAGTGCTCTGCTCAGAGCCTTTACTGTTAGTGGAGAGTCTCAGCTGCCTTACAAGGAGTTATACAGGGTGGCCAAAGGCTAGTGGCTGAGGTATCGGGTGAAAACTGAGGGTGTTTGGGGCTCTTTTGCATCTTTCCTCTCAGATGTCTTTCCTTGAGAGCCTCTCTTAACGCGTCAGTGCTAATCATGCTTCAGCCCAAGGATTCCTGCTTGCTTTCTCTCTCATTCTGTGACCTCCTGCCCCACCAAGTTTTTGCCTTTCACTCCTCTCTTGCCCCAGACACTTGTGTGGCTGTGCTTGGAGTGCTGGACTGGAACACTTTAGTTTCATCCTCTCCGAAAGAGTTGCCCGTCCAGTGTGGCCCTTGATGTGGAGCTGGGTGGCACCCGCCCTGTCCTGCTCTCCACCCAGCTATGTGTTCCTGCCCTCTGTAGTGGTGGACTGGTTGAGAAAGCTCAAGAGAAGGCTGTTGGGATGTGGGGATGCTTCAACCACAGCTTTCCAAAGTGCTGTTCACAGGGTATACAACACAGCTGCCCTAGTGTCTCCACACCAGGAAATCCTTGCCATCCTTGTGCGATTGAGACTACCAAGTTTTAAGGTGCTCTTTCCTTCTGCTAGTGAGCATGATGAACTTCATGAACTGAGCCAGGAGGGATGGGTTTAACTTGTGACTTCTAGAAGCATCAGTGGAAAGGGACCCTCTAGAACATGTTTTCTTTTAAATTGCACACATAAGATACCCTGAAGGGAATAGTCCCCAGAGCTTTCTGGTTTTGGGGCCTGAATCTGTACTTCTGGGAAGCCTCTAGAAAAGCCAGATTTGTTGTGGCCTCCTGGGTTTTGCCGTTGTTCTTCCTTTGCGTCTTTAAATTTGCTCTTATTTTCTTAAGTGAAGTAGGAATATGCTAGAACAGCTTCTCTCAGCTCATAAAGGAGTGCTAAAATGCCCGTGCATTTGTGTTGACTTCTGCTGAGATTTTCATGCTCTAAAAACCCAGCTCAGTCGCATTTGTGTCTCTGCAGTGGGACTATGGAAGGAAAAGAGACATCACCAAGTCATCACTCAGGGGAGAGCAGCATATTGGACCTACCGTCTGTTTGTGACCTAGCAGAGCACTTTCTGCCTCCACACAGCTCTGAAAACAGCGAGGAGCTTTTTCATTCTGTGGATACTTTTCCCTCTCCACCCACAGGTAACAGCTTCTGCCTCTCCTCATGCTCTTTCTTTAGCCAGTGTATTATGTATATAGGCAGTGTGTCATTTGACTGAGTAACTGCAGTCTGATGCTGGTGCATATCTGCCTTGTCTTAAAACACAGTTTACCAGAACTACAGTCTGTTCCAGCTTGACAGATAAAATGTGAACTGTGGGTTGATGAGACACAGGAGAGGAGTTCAGAGGATACTATCAGGTGCTAATGTTTTGACAACACTGTTTCTTCATGTTTAGTTTGTTCTCAGAGGAAGAGAGTTACTTGAACTAACCCACAGAGCAGTCCTCCAGACATCAGTAGGAAATATTGTCTCAAATTACCATAGTTAGTAAGAAATGTTTTTAAACTTCTCCTTATGTTCTTCATGTGCTCATCATGTATCTTCCAGTCATGAGCTCAGGATGTGGCCTCTGTAGCCCGTTACTTTAAAATTATGACAGTGAATGTTTGCTTGTGCTAGTAAGTGTGATGAGAACTGCTTCAGTTCAGCTCTTGGGAGATAGCAGTTTCCTCACTTGAAGGAAGACTGATTCCTGCAGAAGTAGCATTTTAGGTCAGCCACGACTCCAGATTCTTAGGAGTAGTGGTGTATCTGAGAAGATCAAGTGATAGCTGGCACATTCTGATTACTGCACTCCTCAGCCCAGTCAGTGTAAATATATGGCAGGAAATGTGAAAGTGAAATGCACTGGCCCAGTGACACTTCTTGCCATATATTCATACTGGCTGGGCTGAAGGTTGTAGTAATTGTATTTAATATTGTGGGGGGAAAATAAAATCTGATCAGCAAATAATGTGTGGAGAAGGTTTGTCAAGGCACCTGAGCAGGTGAAACATCACTGATGACATTTCTGGTTGCTTTGGAGTCTTAAGTAGTGTAAAAGTAGAATTTGGCACCTCTTCTTCCTCTGGCACTGGGTGGTTTACTTCGGCCTAGTTCCAAGAAGTTAGGTTGGAATTTGACGGGTGAGTTTTTTCAGTGGGAATTCCACTATTTTGCATGCTAAACAGGTAAGCAGCGGGATCTACCAATTAGTCTAGCTCTGTTGATGTTGACTACTTGCCTGTGCAGTTGTCTTCACCTCTAACTGTGGGACATCCAGAACTGTAATGAAATCTGCAAACAGTAGATACCAATCCTTGCTTTGTTTTTCCTATGCAGACCAGGAAGTCACATTTCTTACGTTATTAATGATGCAAGTCTTCTACTGTAACCTCTGCTTTAAACGACACATCACATTCCATGATCCGTATTGCATTAGAGGAATAGTGTATCTGGTTTGAGATTTTGCTTTATTTTTTGTGCATAAGAGTGGTGATGACCACTATGAGGAATGTCCTGAGCAAGCCTTTTCTGCTCTTGTGGGAGAGGAGGATGGGGATGTTCCTCAACAGTGAGATGGGCTGGAAGGCATATGTCTGCGCAGATTTCACAAGCCCTGTGTCACAGGTATGAAGAAATTCTGGGAGCTGTGAGGCGGTTCCTGCAATGTGTCTAGGGCAGCTTAGTTGCTCAAACAACGTTTAGTGTGGCTCAGGGCAACTGGACTTGATTGCTCTGATGAATGGGGTGCACAGAAAAACTGCATGACTACTCAGCAGTCCTAAGACTGGTCTGAGATGTAGCGGCAGTGACATATGTGGAAATGAAGATAGGCAGCTCTAAACCCAAATGACAGCATTGGGCAAGTCGTTCAGGGGGCATGTGTGGAGTCTGTAGCTGAAGCTCAGTACCAAGGTATGCTGAGAGGCCAGGTCTTGCCTCCTTGCAGTTTCCGACACCCCCTGGTGTCAGCAAGGATTCCAGGTGTGCTAAGGAGGGCAGATAGGCCTATGAACCTTCTCCTTCATCACTTGTTTTAGAGACCCCTCGCAACTGAAACCACTTGGCAGTAACTGTGGGATGCATGCTGTAAAATGGTTCCTTACCCTGTGCTCCTAGGAGTGAAATAATCAAGTATGCTCTGAACATCTCAGTTCCTTTGTCCTTATAACAGCATCAAACCAATACACATACTCACTTAAACTCTCTTTTTTGATGCAACTTCAGCTTTCTAAGCCATTGAGTTTGGTCAGCGTGGCAGAAGGGGCAGGAGGATGGTTTTAAAAACAGTCTGCCTGTGTCAGATGTTCTTGGACAAGCAAGTTCTGTCAAACATGTCTTGGGAAAGGAAGCTCCTTGGCTTGTTTGTTTTCTCATGAGACATTGTAAACTGCTGTTGTGACACAAAATAAATTAGGAGAGCAGGGGTGGCTATAGCTTGCACCGAACAGTATGAGCAGAAGATTGTGTCCTGGGGCTTGGGCAGGATGGGTGATGAGTCTTCTCATCAAACTTGAAAGATTTTTGTTAGGGGTGAGGATCTTCCTTAGTGATTCAAAAGCATTTCCAAAAGGCCATTAGGTCTCTGGGAATGTGACAGCTTCCTTAGGAAAGAAGCAGACTGACAGGACAGGCTGTGTTTTCTGACATCTGTCACATGAACTGGACTGAGACTAACTAAAATACCATGCTGTCTGAGCCTCAGGAGTCGGAAATGGATATGGAGGTATTCCTAGTGCCTGAGTCACTAGTAATAGGTCTTATTAGCCTAGAGAGGCTCCATCACTTGTAATAGCAGAAGATAGTACCCATTACCCATGAAAACAGGGCCTTCTGAAAGCAGGCATCCCTAGGCAAGAAAACAGTAGTCCTGTGGGAATACTACTAAATGTCTCAGTTATGTATAAATGAGTGGTTTTACGATTTGTGTGGGAGTGACGGTTCTGCTCTTGCAACAAACACGCATACTTTTATCTTACTGTTATATAGTGAATTCAAGTGTTTACATGGTGATAGACTGAGAAAATTAAATTGGATCAGTGGACCTTTCAGTATGCTGCTTTTTTTTTTTTTACCCCATACTGGAAAACAATAAAAATAATTAATTGTTTATAGTGGTTTTAATCTGCATCACTCAGTTGCACAATGCTGCAGCAACACCTTACTAATTCCTGTGTATTAAGAAAAGTTGCCAGCAAAAGTTCTTACTTGGCAGTGCTTGGGGGTGTGTGTGTGTAAGCCTTAATTATTTGGATTAATATTTGAAAGGCAGCTAATAAATGTTGTTTCCAGTGAAATAAGTCACTGGCAATGTTCCTTTTTCTTGTACGGCACTGAACTGGAGCATACCAGGGACAGCGGAAACACAGTCTTTGCCTGGAAAAATTGCAGCCTAAAAAAGGGTTAGAGAATAGGCTATAGATGTGCTCTACAGATTGGTGCAGGCAGGGTCTTGGGCTCTGCCTATGCTCCGTGGTCTGACAGAGCGGAGTTTGCCAGCACAGCCCTGGAGTGATTCAACCAAGCTTGGGGGAAGCGTTTGAAAGCTCAGCTGTGGCACCCTGCTTGGGAGACTGCCTGTTTGAAGCATGGGCAGAGGTCAGCCCCATCTGCTTACGTGGCTGTTCCCTGGGGCTAGCGATCTTGAGGGGAATGGGTCTCTCTTTGTCCCCTAGCTTCTCCCTTAATCGCTTTTTCATTGTAATGAAAAGTAGTTAAAAAGCTGTGTCCTTAGGAGAATGGAGGGGTAGACAGGGTCACCCAGCAGAAGAGGAAGGTGCACGGAAAATGTAGTGTCACAGGAATAGAGAAAGTAGAGGAAAGATGACAGTAGGAGAGGAAGGATGATGCTGGAGAGATGGGGTGGTTAAAGAAGACAGAGTTTACTGTGTGATTGGAGAGGCCTGCGTGTATCTAAAAGCTGGCTAGCTTATTTAAAAAAATAATAAAAGCCAGTTTGGGAGGGTAGAGGTGTTCAACCTTTAGTTGCCTCTCCAGAAGCACTACTTCTGTTCCTGCAATTTGCTTCAGGTTTGAGCCCAGGCTTACCTTTGGTTATTTTCCATGGACTGCCCTGACCTCTCTAACGCAGCGAGAATCCCAGGCTACCCCTGACCATGCTTCTTATTCCTGCTCCATCCTTAGCACTGCTGCTCAGGTGGCCACATGAGGAGTCACGTCGGGGAATTGGCCCAGCTTGCTGGGCAGCCACGTGAATATTTGTGTGGATGAGACAGGGACAGCTGCTCGTTCTGGCAGCAACACAGGTATATGACAAGATACAGCAGTCTGCAACATGTCCTGTTTTTCAGATGGGGTTACAGTCTTTCCAGAATGGTGGTTTCTGGAAAAAGTAGTGTTAATATTAATCACTTTTCCCTTGTGAGGAGCCAGGCTGTAGGTTCTTTTTGATCAGTCGTGGTTTTTGTAGGCTTGCTTCAAAAACAGTCGGTTTGGAACAAGTCATGAGAGATTGGGGGAAATGGAGCAGAACCATTTCACTGGAGACTCACTGGCACCAGGTAAATCAGTGAGTCTGGGCTACAGCACTGCTGCTGAAATTGCCGCTCGAATCAAGGGGACACACCTGATCACAAGATTATCGCAGTTTAAACATAAAAGCTATCATGATTTTTGGACTGTTCTGGTTGCTTCCTGGGTTTTCAGTCAACCAAGTATGTGTGTTAAACAAAACAGAGATTTCCAACCTGTTAACACAGCCTTCAGTTCTATAGGCAATTTGGATTCCTCTGAAAAAATTGCTACATATACCCAGTAAAGTTACATGCCTAGTTTTGCCGTGGGTTGCTGTGTCTTTTATTAGCAATGGAGGAGTCATGCTAATGTTGGTGCATGTGTTCTAACTTGTCCTTAAATGCTTTCTCCTGTTCACTGCGTCCACTTGCCTGTCAGGAGTTGCATAATCTTTTTCAGGAGTGTGTTGCGTTTACTGAAGATGTCTGGCATGGTTTGTGCTTTTTCTGTATGGGAGTTGTGCACAGGTGCTGACATAGAAGCTGAAAAAGGAAGGAGCAGGCTGTACTTAGCAGCAGCCTTTCAGGGCTGGCACTTGATGGGTGCTTGGAGATGCAGTTCAGTCCAGAGCTCAGTGTATTAATTCATTACTTGGTATCAAAACTATAGCTTGTCCATCTGA